CTAGGGATTAGGGATCGGAACAGAAGCTATGGACGGGGAATAAGGCCTGGGATTGGGACTAAGGATTAGGGTAAGGGTCAGGTTTAAGGTCTGGGGTCTAAGTTCTAGGGAATAGGAACTAGGGATTAGGGATCGGGACAGGAGCTATGGACGAGGAATAAGGCTCTGGGACGAAATCTGGGGGCTGAGGAATCGGTCAGGTTGGTGGAAATCTGAGGCTGAGAATGGGTCTCGGGACGGGGCTGGAAGGTCTCCGGACGTAGGGGGCTGAGGAAGGGAAATGAGGCTAGGAATCGGTCTTAGGTACGAAATCTGGGGCTGAAGGAATCGGTCTCTTTGGTACGAAAATCTGAGGAATCGGAACTAGGGGAAATCTGGGGGCTGAGGAATCGGTAGTGCGAAATCTGGGGTGAGGAATCGGAGCGAAATCTGGGCTGAGGAATCGGTCTGGATCTGGGGCTGAGGAATCGGTCTCTGGTGCGAAATCTGGGGCTGAGGAATCGGTCTGCGAAATCTGGGGCTGAGGGCGGCGAAATCTGGGCTGAGGAATCGGTCTCTGGTGCGAAAATCTGGGGCTGAGGAATCGGTCTCTTTGTGCGAAATCTGGGGCTGAGAATCGGTCTCTTTGGTACGAAATCTGAGGCTGAGGAATCGGTCTCCTAGGTACGAAATCTGGGGGCTGAGGAATCGGTCTCTTTGGTGCGAAATCTGGGGCTGAGGAATCGGTCTCTTGTGCGAAATCTGGGGCTGAGGAATCGGTCTTTTGGTCGAAAATCTGGGGCTGAGAATCGGTCTCCTGGTGCGAAATCTGGGGGCTGAGGAATCGGTCTCTTTGGTGCGAAATCTGGGGCTGAGGAATCGGTCTCCTAGGTACGAAATCTGGGGGCTGAGAATCGGTCTCTTTGGTACGAAATCTGGGCTGAGGAATCGGTCTCTGCGAAATCTGGGGCTGAGAACTCTTTGGTGCGAAATCTGGGGCTTAGGAATCGGTCTCTGGTGCGAAATCTGGGGCTGAGGAATCGGTTCTCTTTGGTGCGAAATCTGGGCTGAGGAATCGGTCTCTGGTGCGAATCTGGGGCTGAGGAATCGGTCTCTTTGGTGCGAAATCTGGGCTGAGGAATCGGTCGTACGAAATCTGGGGCTGAGGAATCGGTCTCTTTGGGCGAAATCTGGGGCTGAGGAAATCGGTCTTTTGGTACGAAATCTGGGGCTGAGGAATCGGTCTCTGGTGCGAATCTGGGGTGAGGAATCGGTCTCTTTGTGCGAAATCTGGGGGCTGAGGAATCGGTCTCTTTGGTACGAAATCTGAGGCTGAGGAATCGGTCTCTAGGTGCGAAATCTGGGGCTGAGGAATCGGTCTCTTTGGTGCGAAATCTGGGGCTGAGGAATCGTTCTCTTGTGCGAAATCTGGGGCTGAGGAATCGTCTCCTAGGTGCGAAATCTGGGGCTGAGGAAGTGCGAATGAATCGGGTGCGAAATCTGGGGCTGAGAATCGGTCTCTTTGTGCGAAATCTGGGGCTGAGGAATCGGTCTTATTGGTACGAAATCTGGGGCTGAGGAATCGGTCTCTGGTGGCGAAATCTGGGGCTGAGGAATCGGTCTCTCTTTGTGCGAAATCTGGGGCTGAGGAATCGGTCTCTTTGGTACGAAATCTGAGGCTGAGGAATCGGTCTCCTAGGTACGAAATCTGGGGGCTGAGGAATCGGTCTCTTTGGTGCGAAATCTGGGGCTGAGGAATCGGTCTCTTTGGTGCGAAATCTGGGGCTGAGGAATCGGTCTCGCGAATCTGGGGGCTGAGAATCGGTCTTTTGGTGCGAAATCTGGGGCTGAGGAATCGGTCCTTGTGCGAAATCTGAGGCTGAGGAATCGGTCTCTTTGGTGCGAAATCTGAGGCTGAGGAATCGGTCTCTTTGGTGCGAAATCTGAGGCTGAGGAATCGGTCTCTTTGGTGCGAAATCTGGGGCTGAGGAATCGGTCTCTGGTGCGAAATCTGGGGCTGAGGAATCGGTCTCTTTGTGCGAAATCTGAGGCTGAGGAATCGGTCTCCTAGGTACGAAATCTGGGGGGCTGAGGAAATCGGTCTCTTTGGTGCGAAATCTGGGGCTGAGGAATCTTGTGCGAAATCTGGGCTGAGGAATCGTGGGTACGAAATCTGGGGCTGAGGAATCGGTCTCTTTGTTGCGAAATCTGGGGCTGAGAATCGGTCTCTTTGGTGCGAAATCTGAGGCTGAGGAATCGGTCTCTGGGCGAAATCTGGGGCTGAGGAATCGGTCTCTGGTGCGAAATCTGGGGCTGAGGAATCGGTCTCTTTGGTGCGAAATCTGGCTGAGGAATCGGTCTCCTAGGTGCGAAATCTGGGGCTGAGGAATCGGTCTCTTTGTGCGAAATCTGGGGCTGAGGAATCGGTCTCTTGTGCGAAATCTGGGGCTGAGGAATCGGTCTCTTTGGTGCGAAATCTGGGGCTGAGAATCGGTCTCTTTGGTGCGAAATCTGGGTGGAGGAATCGGTCTCTGGTACGAAATCTGGGGCTGAGGAATCGGTCTCTTGGTAAAATCTGGGGCTGAGGAATCGGTCTTGGTGCGAAATCTGGGCTGAGGAATCGTCTCTGGTACGAAATCTGGGCTGAGGATCGTCTTCTGGTGCGAATCTGGGCTGAGGAATCGGTCTCTTTGGTGCGAAATCTGGGGCTGAGGAATCGGTCTCTTTGGTGCGAAATCTGGGGCTGAGAAATCGGTCTCTTTGGTGCGAAATCTGGGGCTTTCTCTTTGGTGCGAAATCTGGGGCTGAGGAATCGGTCTCTGGTGCGAAATCTGGGGTGAGGAATCGGTCTCATTGGTACGAAATCTGGGGCTGAGAATCGGTCTCTGGTGCGAAATCTGGGGCTGAGAAATCGTCTCTTTGGTGCGAAATCTGGGCATAGGAATCGTCTCTGGTGCGAAAAGGAATCGGTCTCTGGTGCGAAATCTGGGCCTGAGAAATCGGTCTCTTTGGTGCGAAATCTGGGGCTTAGGAATCTGGTGCGAAATCTGGGGCTGAGGAATCGGTCTCTGGTGCGAATCTGGGGCTGAGGAATCGGTCTCTTTGGTACGAAATCTGGGGCTGAGGAATCGGTCTCTTTGGTGCGAAATCTGGGCTGAAATCGGTCTCTTTGGTGCAAATCTGGGCTGAGGAATCGGTCTCTGGTTTGAAATCTGGGGCTGAGGAATCGGTCTCTTTGGTACGAAATCTGGGGCTGAGATGACACGACCGAGAGCGTGTTGTTCCTGGGTATCTGGGGGCTAAGGAATCGGTCACTTTGGTGCGAAATCTGAGGCTGAGGGAAGCCGGTCTTTTGAGGGTGCAGTTTAAGATTATTGTCTGTAATTCGCTTAAAGGAATTATCAGTATCTATAAAGACCAACAGAAGTTCTATTAGAGACTCTATATAATACATTAAGAGTTAATAGTCACAAAATTCGTTTTTTATTACCAAAAAAACAATAAAGAAGAAATGGCTCATTTGAAACTGAATCTACACTCCGTCAGACTATAGCGTTCATAATTTTGAATCTATAAATCGGTTTTCGTGCTTCTTTCTTAAAAAACAAAGAGTAAACGCCATGAAACACCAAACGATGATGAAACAGGGAATAAGTCCTCGTGCTCCATGTTGCTCAGACGGGAAGTACTATGCGCGGAGTTGTTCAGGCGAGAATAGAACACAAGGGAGGCAGAATGAGGGACACAGCGAATGGGCTAGAGAAATTAGGGACTGGGACCAGGGACAGGAGCTGGGGACGAGGAATAAATCTAGGGACCAAGATATAGAAACGTGCGGTCTAGTACGGCGGTGCTTTTCGCCGTTGAAACACTGCGTCTGGATGAGCAATCGGACACAAGTCAGGTCCTAGTAAACAAGACCAGTTGAACCGCGCCTTAAACAGGTCTACGAAATAGGTATTAAGGACTTTGAGATCAGGTCCAGAAATAGGAACTAGGGACCTGAAATAGGAACTGGGATCGGGTCAAGAAACAGGAACTAGGGACCTGAAATAGGGACACGTAGGACCTGACATAGGGCTAGGTTCTAGGGATAAAGCCAGGTTCTAAAGATAAACCCAAGTTCTAGGGATAGAGCCAGGTTCTTGAAATAGAGCCAAATTCTAGGGATAGAACCAGGTTCTAGAATAGAGCCACGTTCTAAAGATAAAGCTAAGTTCTAGGGATAGAGCCAGGTTCTAAGAATAGAGCCAATATCTAGGAACAGAGGCAGCTTTCTGGCGCTTAAACATAGGGAACAGAAAGCAAAGACGGAATAAAAGAATACTAAATGAATAAATGAGAATAAATACACATAAGCAAATAGAAAGAGAGGTCGTGCAAATACTAAAACAAAAGCTGCTGATGAATGCATGGCAGAAAGGATTGGATAAACCGAAGGGCCTTCCGAACCCATTCGTCCGAGCGGGAGGGGGATTAGGGCGCGCATTTTGGTCGAAGTTGAAACGTGGGTAGAACCTCTTTCGATTTTTTATTGTTTTTCTTATTTTTTCCTTTTCTTGTTTTTTTTCCTAGCGATAAAGGTTTTTTTTCTTTGGTTTCGAGTTGCGGTTTATGGTGTATTGTTTTGTTGTTATTATTACTGTCTTTATTATCTCTTATTACTATTATTATTATTATTATTATTATCATTATTATTATTATTATCATTATTAGTATTAGTATTAGTATTATTAGCAATATCGATATCATTGTTATTGCCTTTATTCTCCTTATTGTTATTGTTATAATGATAATGATGATAGTAATGATCATGATAATAGTAATAATCATGATAATACTATTATCATTATTATTGTTATTATTATTATTATTGGTACTGCTATTATTATTATTATCACCATCATCATTATTATTGTTCTAATAATAATGATAATAATGGTAATAATGATAATTATTATTACTGTCATTATTATTATTATATTATTATTATTGCTATCATCATTGTTATTATCATTACTGCCACTACTATTATTATTATCATCATCATCATCATTGTTTTTATTATTATTACTGTTATTATATTATTATTACTATTATTGTTATTGGTGTTATTATTATTATTTTATTATTATTATTATTATTATTATTATTATTATTATTATTATTATTCATTATTATTTTTACTATTCTTATTTGTTCTTTCTTCATCCTTTATCAATCATCCTCCTTGAATTGCGTTTTTTCTCTAACAATATTATTATTTTTAAAAATCTTCCTCCAACAATATTACTTCCGAAAAACTTCCTCCATTAGTATATTTTTAAAACTTCCTCCATCAATATTGTTTAAAAAATATATTCCTCCATCAATATTATTTAAAAAAAATATTCCTCCATCAATATTATTAAAAAAAAATTTCTCCATCAATATTTTTTTCAATATTCCTCCGACAATATTCTTTCCTCTAATAATTTTCTTAAAAGAAATATCGATAACCTTATTTGTTCTTTTATTTCCACAGGTGAGGAGTGGGAAGAGGAAGAAGAGGAGGAGGAAGAGGAAGAGGAGAAAGACACAGTAGGAGAGGAAGAGAGGGGATCTGCCTGCAGCACCTCTCTCGTTGCGGTTTCAGGTAAAAAGAGAAGGATTTAGAATTAAGGCGAACAGGGAGGGAGAGAGAGGGAGAGGGGAGGGAGAGAGAGGGTGAGGGGAGGGAGAGGGAGCGAGAGGGGAGAAGGAGAGAGGGGGAGGGAGAGGGGAGAAGGAGAGGAGGGAGAGGGAGGAGGGAGGATAGGAGAGAGGGGATAGAGAGAGGGAGGGGGAGGAGAGGGAGGGGGATAGAGAGAGGGAGGGGGACAGAGAGAGGGAGAAGGGGACAGAGAGAGGGAGAAGGGGACAGAGAGAGAGAGAAAGGGGAAGAGAGAGAGAGAAGGGGAAAGAGAGAGAGAGAGAGAGAGAGAGAGAGAGAGAGAGAGAGAGAGAGAGAGAGAGAGAGAGAGAGAGAGAGAGAGAGAGAGAGAGAGAGAGAGAGAGAGAGAGAGAGAGAGAAAAGCATCATATGAAACGGTAAGATAAAGAAACACATTTGCCAAATGATACGCTCTCCGTTTTCTTTGATGTTGCAAAGTACTTACTTTTGGGGATGACTAAAGAGAATTAAGTTTGTGTGAAACGTGCCCTGCTGAATTAAATCCCTCGCTCTATTTTGCAGCATTTAGGATCCAAAGCTAGATTAGTTATGCAATAAAATGCTAATTGTGAAAACATTATTATCATTTTTTTCGTCTGATATAAATAAAATTCATTTCCTGTTCTTGGTTACATTAATAGCATTAAAATAATCAGATGAGAGACAGACAGACAGACAGAGAGACAGACAGACAGACAGACACAGACAGACAGACAGACAGACAGACAGACAGACAGACAGAGACAGACAGACAGACAGACAGACAGACAGACAGACAGACAGACAGACACTTCACACGCATAATGACATATTTGTCATTCCATATTCCACTAATACACATGAATCAATACCCACTAATCAAAAATGCTAAGGTTGATAAATGAATTAACAAGTAAACAAACGAAATCGTATATTTTGAAATATATATATATATATATATATATATATATATATATATTATTATGTATGTATGTATGTATTATGTATATATATGTATGTATGTATGTATGTTATGTATGTATATATATATATATATATATATATATATATATATATATATATTATATATATATATGTATGTATGTATGAATGTATATATGAATAAATAAATATATATATTTAAAATATAATGAATAAATGAATAGAAATAGTATATATAAATAGATGAATGATTAATGTATGAATAGATAAACGAATGTATAAAGTATAAATGCATTTATCTATCTATCTATATACGTATATACGTATATATATATATATATATATATATATATATATATATATATATAATATATACGTATATATATATATATATATATATATATATATATATATATATATATATATATATATATATATATATATATATATATATATATATATATATATATATATATATATATATATATATATATATATATATATATATATATATATATATATATATAGTCGCCACCCATCGACTGTTTGCCTACGTCATCAGTTATCCATTCGTAAAGAACGGCATGCGTCATTGTTCGCCGATCATTGCACAGCTTCCAAGAACGGACTTGATGAGCGGCTCAGGAGAACGAGTAGGAGGACGACCTAGAAAACGACAAATAGAGCGACTAGGAAAACGACTAAAGGAACGACCTGAAAGAGCGACGGAAAAGAACGACCATGTTGTATTGCGTCTGTCGGACGTACTAAGCTGGAGGAACGACCTTGGAGAACGACTAAAGGAATCACCACTAAAATGAACAGCCAAGGAGAACAACTTAAAAGACTAAGGAGAACGACTCTTGTGCTGCATCTACCGTAGACATGATAAACTGGAAGAACGACCTAGCAGAACGACCCAGGAAAACGAGACGAACGAAGAAAAACGAAAGAACAACGACTTCCCAGAACGACCCAGGAAAACGACACAAACAAAACTGAAACATAAGAACGACGACCTCCCAGAACGACCTAGATGAACGACCCAGGAAAACGACACAAACGAAAAACGACACAAATGAACAACGACCTACCAAACGAGCCAGGAAACGGCACAAACGAACAAACAAAAGAACAACGACCGAGATGAACGACCCAGACAAAACGACACAAAACGACCGACCCCCCCCACCCCCTTAAAGAACGACCTCCCAGAACGACCGAGATGAACGACCAGAAAAAAACGCACAACGAACGAACTCCCCCCCTCCCACAAAGAACAACGACCTCCCAGAACGACCTAGATGAACGACCCCCTGTTGTGCCCTGTCTGTCGTGGTCGTCATAAGCCCCGAAATCCATCCGAAATGCCGGTTTCCGAGAGGGATTTCGGCCGGATTAGTGGTTTTTTTTTTTTTTTTTTTTTGCGATTTATTTTTTGGTTATTGTTATTATCTTATTGTTATTGTTATTGTTATTATTATTATTGTTATTGTTGTTATTATTATTATTGTTATTGTTGTTATTATTATTATTATTATTATATTATATTATTATTATTATTATTATTATTATTATTATTATTATTATTATTATTATTATTATTATTATTGTTATTATTGTTATTATTATTATTATTATTTTTTATTATTTTTATTATTATTATTGTTGTTATTATTATTATTGTTATTATTATTATTATTATTATATATATATATTATTATATATATTATTATTATTATTATTTGTTATTATTATTATTATTATTATTATTATTATTATTATTATATTATTATTATATTATTATTATTATTATTATTATATTATTGTTATTGTTATTA